AGCGCCACTGTTGACATGGCAACTCACCCGCCGTCTGAAATGACTCACATATATAATGATACATAATGAGATTAAATGCGCATGCACTTCATAGAAATTGTAGGAGGGTCTGGCAAAACGTACTGTCAAGTAGAGGAGATGATTCAGCAAGGGTATCGCTTACGAGGGGGCCCGGTCGCTTTTGCAGGCTTTAGCCACAATGTCAACATAGCTGAACGGATCCAAAAGCTGCCGTAATATGGTTATCGCTGTTGAGGGGACCCTATCGCTTTTGCATGTTTTAGCAGAATTCTGAGCCCCTCTTCACTAAATTAGTCATGCATGTTTTGAGCGGTTGCTCATATGTATATACTGGATACATATTTATATACTGTACATAATATTGTTGTTAATACCATGGAATGACGTTCAGGATGTTGAAAGCGCAGCACCACAAAGGTCGTGGCAAGGGCAAGTGGACGGATGGCAAGTGGGCGGACGAGGGTTGCTACCATTGCGGCGGTCACCAACTTAAAGCAGTGCAAACACTGTCACAGCTGTATAATGCCTATATAGGGCAGAGGGGAAGCGCTGAGGCCCCGAAAGTGCTCAACAGAGTCACTACAAAGCAGACCTCAATAATCAAGACCACACTGATGGGAATCGAAGCGAAAGGCGCACGACATATGTCATAATTGTGAGGGGCCTGAGTGGAACTGAGAGGCCAGGAGATTATATACACACTTTCCATGGACCCAACAACCCCATGAAACAATTTGAAAACAATATGGTTGAGACAGTGAACCGTGTGTGTATTCTTTTGTGGTACCAATGTCCCCCCTGACCTTAGGTCAAGGCCACTTCGCCAGAGATTGTCCTGACAAAGGAAGTGGCAAAGGGAAGGCGCTCCGGCAGGATGTCAAGGGCATATTGGAGCTCACCCATTAAGGTTCACCTAAGATGATAGACTGACCCAGAGTGACTGATCAGACTTGTAAAACCCACAACATTTTCGCAGAGCCATGATTCATCCGTCCACATACCATCGGGTCCAAGGACTGGGGCGACAAGGGTGGAGGCAAAGGCTATGGCGGTGGAGGTGGCAAGCGCTATTCGGCATGAAAAGCGGAAATGGAAGGCGGGAAAGGGAAACCACCCAAGGTAATAATTGTATCATAGCACCAGATGACCAGGAAATTGTGCTGGCCAAACAGGGAGAGACAGAGAAAGAGAGAGAGAGAGGGAGGGAGAGAGAGAGAGAGAGAGAGAAAGTGAGAGTGAGAGTGAGAGTGAGAGTGAGAGTGAGAGTGAGAAGAGAAGAGAGAGAGAGAGAGAGACAGAGATAAGCTGAGAGGGAGAGATGACACATACAAACCAACGAGCAACGGGAGGCATAGTTATATACTACTGATTAGTAACTTAGGACTTGTCGGACATACACGCCAATTCCAAAAGCCTATGTCATCAGGATTGATCCAACATTGGCATTTCCTCTTGAGGCCTATGTCATCGGGCCACAACCATCAAATTCATAGAAATATATATGAGGTATTCAAGGAAGCAGCGCCCGCAAAAACACATAGTCGCACCCTATGTCACCACAGGTCCTATGACACCAGGTTTCCCAACCCAGACTTTCTTTTTTGCTCGATATGTCAGGGCACATGACTTAGCCCTGAGGGTAGCCAGATTGGTATGTCACTTGCATCACGTTGGCCTAAGTCATTAGACAGTAGTATATATGTGTTTTTGTATATATATATAAATATAGAGGTGTACCTGCTTTTTGAAGAATATGTTTTGGTTCTAAACCAGTGTTTAAAAAACGGCAGTTCAACAGCCACACTGCAGCCAACTCGCCATGCTAAGGAGGAAAGGATGAAAGCTGCTTCAGCTGTTTGGGATCCGAGGGCAGAGACAATAACCTGGTTGAAATTGATGAAATCTATGCTAAAGATCAACGAGAGAGGTGAAACGTTTGTTTGGGTGGAATCTCGCCATGTCTCGCATCGTGCAATGGTATATCAAGTGGGCGATGTCCCTCAGAGGTGGTGGCTCTGGTCACTTCGCTCGTGATTGCCCAGAGGCTGGTTTTGGATAGCCACATTTGCCACAGAAGGCAACCAGAAAAGTTGGACAAACAAAGAACTAGTTCAAGATGAACTCCTGTAAAATTTGTTTCGATCCATTGTACAACTGGAGCTGGATGACCACAAGGCAAAATACGAGCCGCCAAGTAGTCAGGCAAAATCATCCAGATCGTAGTGAATCATCAATAGAACCGTTGTCCTACTTCGTCCATGTGCAATTGGTCAGAAGAACCATCAAGGTTCATTTGCAACTCTCAGAGGCTAATGTAGGGATTCTTTTCATTTTTACGGGCGCTCTAGATGCAGCTCGGCCCGTTACAAGCTGCAGGATCGCGGCAAAGGCCACAAATAAGGCGCGTGAACAAGCGGTTGCTTAGAGAAGTTGGTCAAAACAACGGATTCTCGTGGTAAGTCTTACTTGCACTGAGTTATGCTCTTCCTAATTGGTTTCACTTGGGGTCAGTGTGTGGCTTTCTGTCAATGGCCCTGCTGAAAGAAAGTGACACCTATTGCAGTCAAACGGCCGCCTGTGGGCTTCATGCCAGTTTCATTCCTCAGAAGACTTGTCAAAGAATCAAAGACGCGTGGGTGTGTCTCAGAACTGCCAATCATTAACAGCCATGCCACTTGTGGGGGGGAGAGAGGTTCGCTAGATCTCCTTGTGTCAGGTCCATCTTGTGGAGTTCGCACAGTGACGTTGATTCCCAAGGTCCTGGACTGACTATGACAGTAACAGATTCCATCACCACAGCCAATGATTTTGAGCGAAAACCAAAAAGAACAACACATCATTTGCGTATGCGATTCGTGAGTCAGATTTACTTTGGCATATTGCGCTGCATGGAAACATGCCAAGCCTGGTTGCCTTGGGAATGATGAGCAGAGGCAGTCTGCTCCTTACTGTTGCAGGTGTTTGCAAGTGCCAAATTTAGACAGAGGATCGGTTCAGATCCTTAAATAACTTCGGTACCAACTGGATATTGCTGACGTTCTCTCCCACACTATGTATAAATTATACATACATACTGTATCTATGATTATCAGGTGTGCCCCACAACCACTTGTGTCAATGGATGTGGAAGCGCCCATGCTCCCGCATTGCGTTCCTGCGAGCTGCGGCAAGCGCTCTTTTGGAATTCATCTGCTCCGTTCCTCGCCCAGTTTGTCATATGGATGTGCACATTTTGCTGATGGTGGCACCGTCACATAGTTCAGGGCACAAGGCTTTTGACCCAAAAGTCAGGTGATAAAATGTCCCATTTGTGGATCTGGCAGCCCTCTAGCAGACACTGCGCAAGGAGCATGCAGAGTTTGAGATTCCTGTCGTTTGCCGAAGTCTCCTGTTTAAGTGCACTAAATTAGATGAATTCCTACCTTGCAGCGGGTGCCAGCACTGCAGCTTGATGCAGCAAGAAGCACATGAGCGCGGTCCCTTCAGTATTGTTTGGGCAGCTTTCAGTAGGGGAGACACTGAGGATCTTAGAGAACTGAATCTGACTTGTGACCGCACTGGGGATGGCTCGAAATGACAACAAAATGGACCCGCGGTATACTAAGTATGATATGGTTTACCCGGTGTTCCAGAGCCATCTCAAATTGGAAGCTGCAACCGTTGCAATGGAAGCGTGGGCACTTCTGCGAAGGCAGGAGACGAGGCAATTGCAGTCTGTTTGGGCAAAGAGTCTCCATGCTGACCGTGAGGAGGGTTTGTATTTACTGTGTATAGCTTGTGGACTTACTGTATCATGTATTAGGCTGTAAGCCACAATAATGGTATGCCGTTTCAGTTTCAATCTGTGAAAAGCTTCCATCATTCTGATATTTCACTCATGCGCATGCAGGGGTTCGCTTAGCCTAGGAGCCAATCAAAAGGGTCTTGTCAACTTGCGGGGAAACGGTGGCCAATGGTCTCATCATTGACTGTAATCATTCAAGTTGATGATTGAACATGGCCAGCAATAAAGGCATAGCACTTTTTTTTCGAAGAGGATTTGGTTTGGGGCCTGATGAATGACATGGCTTGCACGTTTGGCATTACGTTTGGTCAGGGGTTCAGTCATTGCTTGTCTCCCACACGTCACTACTCCCAATTTTGGTCCAGAGATGGAAACAGCACAGTGCTTGGACTGCAGCTGCCTTCGGACTTCCATCAAGTCCTGTCGTATGTTTGACGCCACTGTTTTACCATCAGGCCATTTGACCCACAGATGTCGTCCTTTAGAAATGGGCAGCATGAGCTGGCTTGCTACTGTTTCCATACGTTGTCCGGCTTGCATGTCCTTTATGTGGAAAACATGCAAAAGGCAAAATCCGTGACCTGAATTTGGCCAGGCTCTCTCAGCTCAATCTAGGAGGGACTGCATGCCGATTCGGGAAAACTGTAGAGCATGAAAGAACAGTGCTCGCTTAGAAAGTCAACACTGGAAAGGAACGAGCGTCAGCACTGAGTTATATAACTATTTTGGTGGGAAATGGTCCCCCCAATGAGACCCCCATGAGACATGAGCACAACAGTTGACCAACTTCAGCTTTGCTCCCATGTGACAATGTTGGTACGCCACGTGCCTTGTAGAACGCCACCCCGAGTGCAGGCGGGTTCTCCGGTGATGCCTTGATCCAGAGCAGTTGCTGCCATGGAGAGGCTTCTTATCAATTTTTATACAATTTATACATGTAATCTTTATCAATATTGGGACGCTTTTTCTTTAGTGGGCCCAGGGGCCCAGATCACCATCCATGCGTGTGCCAGCCTTGTCCAGCCAGGTGCCCATTCGATCCATTTGCCTGGTCCAATCTTCCGTGCCCCCGTCATCATCCTCGTGGTCATCCTCCCTGCTCCCTGCCTTTCGCAGTGGTATTGCCGGAGCCGTGGCTGGTGGCACAGCGGCCTCTGGTGCCTTTCCGCGGTCTGCGAATCGACAGCGTCGCGTCATGGCAACATCGACGGCAACTGCAACATCACCGGACGTGGTCGTCTTCAGCCGCCCGGGGTGCAGCTTTTGCGCCAAGGCGAAGGCCTTGCTGTCGCGACGGCAGGTACGTTTCGGCGTGGTGGATGTAGGTGCGGAGCCGGAGCGCTTCGCGGAGGCCACCGAACGTGGCGCGATGTCGACCTTTCCGCAGATTCTGGTGGGCTCAAAATGTCTTGGAGGCAAACGGGGTTGGGGAATGTGCAGGATGCGAAGGAGCTGATGGAATTCCATTTGCAATTCGCAACACGCCCCTAAAGCCACTCATTTGACTTTGTCTCAGAGCAACTCCTCAATCGAGTGTCTTTATGCTTCATTTTTTGGGGCTCTAAGCCATGGGGTGTCCCATCTAAACCTAGATGCTCCGGGACACGTGAGACAGGCTTTGATGCTCTCAAGCTTCTGGATGAGCAAGGCCGGCTCATAGAGGCCACCCAGCGTGAACCCCAGGTGCGGCTGCCGGATGCAACAGTTGTGCGGACTGGAAATGACGACCCAGTCACGAAGCTGTGTGCATTCTCAGTGTTGAAGCTCTGACAGGACGAAGTTTACATCGCTCCAACGCCTCCAGAGAAGATAGTCGCTGCGACTTTGCCCAAGGCCTTAGTGATTCCACCTTTGGCATTTGTGTATGTATGAAACAGCCGTAGATGTTTTTGGAGCCCTGACAGAGGCTATCCAGCAGCAACTCCTGCAGCGGGCCGAGGTGTCTTGTGCTTTATTCATCTCCCTACTAGCTTCTTGTTCCTAGTAGCGATGTGAGGAGCGCGTAGTAGCGTCCTGGCTCAACATGAACGCTCTGAAACCACCGATTAAACCTTGCTCGCGTGGCCTCCCCAAGGAGATGGCCAACTTGCAGTACCAGGCCATTTCGCCAATTGAAACATCAGCCATGAAGTGTTGTATCTTCATATAATATGTGTATCTGTGTATCTAAATATGTAGATATATTAATGCACCTTCAGTTGCACGTGACCTGTTGGGCGGTATTGGCTGCATGTGCGAGGCAGGCAGCAAGCCAACCATGTCAGGCTTCCTGCGATATGCCATTACCCGCAGCCCGCGCCAGGCCATTTTGGGAGACCTGCGTTGGTCAGCAATGTTGCTGACTTTGTGAGAGGTCGAATTTGGCCAACAAACTAAACAGTCAGATTTGCAGCTGTGAAGTGTGAAACTGGGAAATTCATCCATTGATTAGCCCGGTGAAGACCAAAAGGGGATCAGACCAAAGGGGGGGACTCTGGAGTGTGAGTTCGCAGGACCAATCGCAGAACGTTCCGTTGAACTTAGCAGCGGTACCTGGACTTCGCAGAAGTTCAAGTGAATCAGATCACACTCTTGAGAAAGACTGGAGAAAAGACAGAAACAGGAAAACATCAAGTTTCCACCCAAGAAAGGGCCTAAAGGACCCTAAAGGGCCTAAAGGTCTTCTTGAGGAACATTTAAGCAAAATAGACAAAAAGGAAGAAACAAGTTCTTCCTTGAAGAGCCCAAGCCCTTTCGAATGTCACAGCCGAGGCACCGGGCTCCAGCGACCCACCTGCAGCACTTCCGAACGCCTCGGCGGAGCAGCTCGCAGTCCGGGGTCCACAGATGGCGGTGAAGATGTTTTTCTAACATGAACTTCGTTGTAAAAATGCTCAATTTTCTCTAATTTGGCGAACCTTTTTAAGTTCCTTAGCATTTTATTTTCTTAACGGAATTTGCTGAGGCCTTGCTGCGACAGTCGATGCTGCAACTCTTGGATAATTTCTCTGACCCCGAGAGTCCAAGGCTAAGACGGAGAAATGAGATCTGGAACAGCTGTGCCGAAGGCAGAACGGCACATGAAGGAGAACAGACGTTGTGAGGTGGGGATGTGAACTACGTCGCCATGCGTCAATCCGCAGAGTTTGGAGCTGGGCGTGGAGGACAACAGAGAATGGTTTGGATGAAGTTCCATCCTGTGACGAATCCTGTGTATGTTTGTCGATCGTTGTGGATGTTTGATCGGGAAGCTGAGGTGGAACCTTTTCCGTGCCCTGGCCTCGGAGCTGGGTCAGTGCGGACTCCAAGTGCAAACGTGGCTGAGTTGAGGGGGGGTCGCCAGCCTGTTTCACCTGGCGGGTGCCGACGTGTCCCGCAATGCTACGGGGTGGGGTGGGCTGGGGTATGCTGGGGTAACGACGTTCGTGTCAACTTTCTATCTTCGCCTTGCAGTCGATCAAACACGAATCAAAAAAAACCAACTCTTCGAAAAACCTCTTGAACATAGCATGCCACTGTGATTCCTGTTGAGATGTTACCCCAAAAACAGACCACCTCGAAGATTCCCCAGGCGAAAAGTCGGGTCAATGCCTTAAATAACGTAGGACCCCCACTACCGCCAAACAAAAACAAGGATGCTAATACAAAGCCTGCATTTCGCACAACTCTTATTTCTAAAAGCACGCAAAAACAGAGGAGCCGTTATGGCACCCGTGACCTTGTTTCACTGTGGAACGGAGCGCAACCAAGAGACCGAAGAGATCAACTGTTATATATCCAATGATGACACAGAATCATTATCATGGTCATAGTTTCCAGAGGACCAGCAACAGGGAAATCCTGAGGTGGAGGATGTTTGTTGGCTAGGCGTCGCTTTGGTGTTTGTGGCATGACGTGGTATGACTGCCTTTTGTAATCGCAAGGCTGCGGTTGCAATCGCAACTTGCAAACATGCCGACGGAAGAGCGCAAGGCATCGGGGAGTGGAACGAGCGGTTCGAAGCTTGCAGAACGGACTTTCGGCTCGATCTATTTTTTGGTGAACTGAAGCTCGCTATTGGCGGCTGTAGAGGTTTGGCTATCCGGACTGGGATGAACTAAACAAACTACTCTCTCGTTTGGCTGAGCCTTCAACATGCGTCTTTTCCAGACTCTAGCAGAATTAACTCTTGATTTAATTCTTTTCATTTGGACCTTGGGCGTGGTAGTTCTTAGCTTGGGGGGGCCCGTTTATGTTCGGGAAATGGTGTGTTTTTGAGTTTATTTTTTGTTTTTTGGGGGGGGAGCATGGATAAACAGTGATATCGTGTGTATGATTGTCCGTATGGCTTCGGAGGTAAACGTTCGCGATGCCGCTTATGCATCCCGGGGGAGACTGTATTTATTGACATCGTGTACACGTGTTCGTCCAGGCTGTCTGGCCGACAAAAGCTTATCTCAAGGAAACAGGCGATTGATATCGTGTGTGTGGTCGTCGCGGACAGCTTTTGTGGAGGGAAATTTGGGGAAATAGGTGATTGATATTGTGTGTGTTCGTTTTGGACAGCTATTGTGGGGGTAAATGGGTGGTAGAGCTACTAAGCTGTGTGCATGGCAGCCGCCAACGTCCATCACATTACCCATTGCTGCGGCCACCCAGACTCTGCCAGTATACTTGCGGCACCCCAAATAAAGCTGAACTACGCTCCGATTTACCCATCGCTGCTACTTCCCGACCCATTACCCACCCAGTACACTAGTGGCCTTCTAATACTGCAGCACTAACCAGTAGTACCATGTGGTGCCCCAAGTTTGGTCGCCGTGTTTTCTTCACTCTGCACTTCTTCACGCTTGAGCCCGGCGGTTACTCCGCTTCCAAGAGCACGAGTTGCTGCTTCCCTCACCAATAACTGCGCTTCCTAACGGCTCTGAGAACACAAGGGGCTGCTTCCCTCGCCAATAACCAACCCGTATCCTCGTGGGCTTCTAGCTACTGCTTCCAGGCACAATCCTGAACCCCTCTACTAGTGGCATCCCTGCTACTGCTACATTTGACACGTTTAATTTGTGCGGGCGGCTTCCAGCGCGAAGCGGTGTGAATTAACTCCAGAGGTAGGGCGGAACCTCGGCTGTGCACGCGGGATTTGCTCGCCTGCGCGCGCGTAAGGGTTTGCTTGGTTGTGCACGCGCTGCTCGGTTGTACACGCGCTTGGCTGGGTTGTATAAATGAATGAATGAATGGATGGATGCATGAATGAATGAATGAATGAATCAATGAAGGAAGGAAGGAATGAATGAATCAAGGAACGCATTCATGACTGAAATGAAATGACATGAAATGAAATGAATGATTCAATCAATCAATCAATCAATCAACCAAGGAACGCGTGCATGAATGATATGAATGACATGAAATGACATGACATGAAATGAAATGAAATGAAATGAATGCAGAGTGAGTGAGTGAGTGAGTGAGGGAAGGAAGGAAGGAAGGAAGGAAGGAAGGAAGGAACGCATGTATACATGAAAGA